CCCCCCCCCCCAAAAGAGCCACAGCTTCCTAAAATGAGGTTTGAGCTGCTATATGAGGTCATGTAACTGAATGTGAGGTTCCCAAAATATTGGAGAACAGTAAAAAGGCTTCTGAATGTGCAGCAACCAAAAACTAATTCAAAACCAAATGCATATTGAATCCAAGGTGTTCTGGCAGTGCTTGCCCTTGTATCTCACAGCCTCATAGCAGCCTTGGTTCTGAGTTCACATGCAGTTTACACTGTGCACACTGTTGCAAAACACAATACTGATGACTGAAGCATGCAGGCCAAGATGCAGGTTATGAATGACATGTTCTTTAGTGTGTAAAACTCACATTAGTATATCCCTGGTTTTATTGTGTTGGATTGTGAGAGCTCAAAAATTGCTGTTTTTTGAGTTTCTGACTTTAGTTTCCTTTAAAAAAAGTGTTGAGCCAAGGAGATAGCTCAGCAGGTGAAAAGCACTTGTTGTAAGCCTCACAACTTTTGCGTTTAGATCTCTTGAACCAATGTAATGTAGTGGTGTGTGTCTATGGAGTGAGATGTGAGGCAGAGGCAGGAGAATTCCCCAGAGGCTCAAGGGTAGATACTCTGGAATATGCAATGCAGCAGCAAGCAAGAGACACTGTACCTCAAGGTCAAGGGGAGGAGGACCAACAACATCCAAGGTTGTCCTCTGACCTCCACATACACAGGTTGCAGCACTCACACAGACATTTACACACATACAAATAAACAGATAAGTATTTTGGAGGCTGCAAAGATGGCTCAGTGTTTAAGAGCATTTGTGGCTCTTTCAGATGACTCAGGCTCAGTTCCTAGCACCCACTTCAGGTAGCTCATACCATCTGTAATTCCAGCTCTAGGGAATCCAAGACCTTTTGGCTTCATCAGGTATTTGCATGTACATGACATGTACACATCTAGACTGCACACATAAATAAAAATAAATCTTAAAAATAATAGTAATTTTTTTTTTTCAGAGAGGGTTTCTCTGTGTAGTCCTGGCTGTCCTGGAACTCACTCTGTAGACCAGGCTGGCCTTGAACTCAGAAATCCGCCTGCCTCTGCCTCCCAAGTGCTGGGATTAAAGGCGTGCGCCACCACTGCCCAGCAAAAATAATAGTAATTATTGATTTTTTTTTTATCATTAAATGAATTTTGGCTTTGGATTAGGAAAGAATTTCCAACAACTTCTGAAATAGTCCTAAGCATATTTCTGCATACAGAACCTTAGTCTCTGTATTGACAGTTACCAAGTCAAAATATTGATCAATTATGGAAAATGTTGAAGATGCTCTACCTAAGATTTGGCCAACCTTGTGACAGACATGTTGTCATGTATGAAGTTCACAATTGAGAACCATGAAAAAAACCAACCTTATGTTTTAAGTATGTTTACCATTTTGTGTTGGGCTGCATTCATAGCTGTCCTCAACCACACGGGGCCCGTAGACTACAAGTTATGTTTAAGTATACTACCTATGTCTTATAGTATCACCTTCAGCCAAGAACTATGTAAAAATAAATAAGCATACCTGGTTATGTAGATTACTGTTGATCTTTAATAAATAAATAATCATGATGATTGTTTTAAAATACATTTATTATTTATTAGGAAGAGTGTGTATTTATTTTATATAACTATCTGACTGAGGTTGTGTAAAAATCCAGTGAAAAGGGTTGTAAGAAAATGGAAGCTAGAGAAGTGGAGGGCAGGCCTACACTCATTAAATACATGCTTTAGGAAAATGTCTTGATACAACACAGTGCCATGCACAGGGACTATATACAATGAAATGTAAAGAAAAAAAGGCAGGTGGTGTAGTTCAGTTGATAGAGGAATTGCCCAAGCATACATGAAGATCAGGATTCAGTCCCTAGGCACTCATAAATAGAGCACAGACATACAATCTGAGCACCCAGGAAGTGGAGGCAGAAGGATCAATAGTTCCGGGCCATCCTCACTACATAGCTAGTTCAAGGCAGCTTGGACTAGAAACCATTTGAATGAGTGAGTGTTGCAAGTGGGAAAAGTTTAAGAAGTCTAATGCAGGCTGATAGTTTCTGGGTTGAAGACAGAACCCCACTAACATATTATTCATATTAATGGACCACCATAATACATACTGTCTGAACCAAAAGGTGAACTCTATGTCCCACACTTCTGTAATTTAAAAGCTTTGAAGATAAAGATGAGAAAGCTTTGAAAGGCTTTGTTAATGTGAGCCATGTAAAATGGAAGTAACCTGTTTAGTGGAAGACACTTAGAGTATGGTTCTCTGGCCACTTATGTTTTTGACACTTGGTTTCTGGTCAGTTTAACATTTTTTTTTAAATCTATTTATTTATTTTATGTATGTAAGTACGCTGTAGCTGTCTTCAGATACCCAGCAGAGGGCACCAAATTCCTTTACAGATGATTGTGAGCAACCATGTGGTTGCTGAGAATTGAACTCAGGCCCTCTAGAAGAGCAGTCAGTGCTCTTAACCGCTGAGCCATCTCTCCAGCCCCCAGTTTAACTTTTTTATTACATTTATATTTACTTACTTGTGTGTGCACATGATCCTGAGGATCAAAGGCTTGGCAGCATGTGCTTTTCCCCTCCGAACAGCTATCTCGGCAGTCTTCCTTGTTAGTTTAAATGGATAATTTGGTCTGCTAACATCCAATTAGTGTTTAGGTTTTCATCTCAAGGATTATCTGTTGTTTCTTGAATAATAAAGAAAATTAAGCACCCTTCATGTTTTCTATTGCTTTATAAGGCACAGTTGGTGGATCTGCGATCTGAATTGACAGAGACTCAAGCAGAGAAAGTTGTCCTGGAGAAAGAAGTCCACGACCAGCTCTTACAGCTGCACTCCACTCAGCTTCAGCTTCACGCCAAAACTGGTCCAAGTGTTGACTCTGGTGCCATTAAGGCAAAATTGGTAAGTAAAACAGGATGTGCACATGTTTGTTGGAGGATGGAGAGGTGATTTCTAATAAAGTTACAATTATAAAATACGTTCATGGGGAGAATTCAGGCAATAGAAAGTTGATAGTCGTATATATCAGTAGCCTCTGATACGATCAGTACCCACCTGATAGAGTAGAAAAATACTCTATTTTCAAATATGTGTGTAAATATATTCAAAGGTTATTAAAGATCTAACATTGGTTTTTGTTCTGCTATCTGTGGGGATTAAATTCAGCTGCGATAGCAGGAATCTTGAGTAGCATTGAGATTGTTCTTAAATAGTTTTGTTGGTTTTTCCTCAACTAACCCTGAGACAGGCATCTCAATACTGATGCAGCCACTCTATCTGTACTAGGAGTTCAGGTTCTTGTTTGGTTGTGTTCTGCCATTTTTAGCAGATGAGTTCCAGCCCTGGGATTTCCTCCTGTTTGTGTCTAGTTAGGAATAGGAGGAATCTAAAGGGGATAGAAAAATTCTTCTTAACTGTGTTAGTCTTTGTAAACAAGGTTCAGTGACTACATCTCCTTAGTAATTTTGTCAGCCCCTCATTCACTTAGCCCTAGCTCTGTGTTAGTTAGTTCATGCATCTTGCTAAGTTGGAGTGCTGATAATACAGAGAAAGGGACAGTGTAGTTAAATGCCACCACGTTTCTTAGCTCTCAGTAAAGCGTAAGTATTATTGCTGCTACTGAGCATTATTATGTCATCTCATTGTGAGTTCCCTCTCGCTAGCCATAACCATCTTAATTAGAACTGTCTGTTTAGGTAGAAAACAACATTGTAAGACTTGTTTCAATCCAACGTATGGATTGAGTGTAGTCTGTGTGCCAGACATTTGACTAAATGTGTGAAGTCAACAATAAGAAAGATAAAGCTTAGGAGAGATAGACCATGAGACAGTGCTATTGGAGTGTAAGATATGTTTAAATTTTACGTAGTTGCTCTTAATTTTGTTTGAATGCTTTCATGTACTGATATAGTGGACTCTGCTTCAGCATTTATATTCTCCTGAGGACCTCACAAACTGAAGGGCCATGGATCTGTGTTAACAGACGTTCTATAAGTTCTGTTGACTCTAGAGAACCCTGACTAAGACAAGCTATGTGATTAACATTGAGAAACATTTTACATTTTCATTAGAAAAGAATTTCTTAACTTTTAATAGATGCTATAGAGAGACAAATATTGGGCCAATTGTATTGACTAATTTTAACTTTAAAATTTTTAGTGTAATATTATAACTGTTGTTTATAGATTTGCAAATATATTTATGCTACTGAGCTTTACCCAACTGATACTCAACATGTGGGAATTTTCCTTGTAATGATAATACCACTAGACAATTTGTTTGTTCAATGGTTTTCTAATTATAAAACTTTTTTCTTGTATCTGAAGTCTGTCCACTCTGTGGAGGATCTGGTAAGTCTGTTGTTTCTCTTGCCTTAATGTATCCTGCTGAAATGCTCTGGTGTTTTATGTATTAGCTGTTGTCACATTTTGTATTTGGAAGTCATGTTAATGCTGGTTTTCAGGGTTCAGATACCTGAAAGGGGGGTGCCTGTTGTGCTTCCCTCACTGCATGTGCCTAAAGACTTACCTTTCATTTGTGACTTACAGCCATTGTTTGCAGAGCCTATCAATTTTGACAACTTTTGGGACTTGTAACTTGCTCCCACATATACTTTGGCAAAAATACGTACATGAGGGTAATGAGGATGTAGTAAACAGACCTGGGTTTTGCCCCTTCAAGTTTCTGTTTGAACTTGTTCCCATTAATAGAGTGTGCATGCAGATTCCTTCATCCATTGCATGTGTTAGGACCTCTCAGCGGGTGTGAAAATGATGGTATAGTCTTAAAAACACTGGGTTTTAAATGTTTTATCAGAAAGTATTTTAGACAATAACAATATATAAATTCTTAGTGTATTTCCCATTATCCTAGGCTAATCAAATTCCAGTTGACTCAGGACTTTACCACTTCTGAAGATACATCAGTCTAAAACTTGAAATAAACTTGCTTATTACCTAATACAAAAAGGTTACTAGGAAACAAACTTAAAAAGTATCTTTAAATCTTAAAGTAATTCTCTTCAGTTGCCTTAATCCTATTCTTGTTTGCATATTTTTATTTAAAGATTTATATATACAGTGTTCTATATGCGTATATGCTTGCATGCCAGAAGAGAGGACACCAGATATCATTATGTGTGTGTGTGTGTGTGTGTGTGTGTGGTTATGAGCCACCACCACATGGGGTGCTGGGAATTGAACTGAGCACCTCTGGAAGAGCAGCCAGCACTTTTAACCTCTGAGCCATCTCTTCAGCCCAACACTTTTTTTTCATGGGAGACTGTCCTTGAACTCACAAGATCTGCCTGCCTCTGCCCCCTAAGTAGTAGGGTTAAAGGTGTGTGGATCACTATGGCTGGCTGGCTTCATGAGTTGTAAGTTTTCAGCGACTGTCAGATTCTTTAGGAGTCTGAATTATTAAAAGGAAATGGTGGCCTCATAAGCATCTGAGATTTCATTAGCTAGCTCAGTATAGTAATATTTCTATACCTATACACCAAAGAAATCTTGGTCTGCAGGATGGGAATGAAGCTCAGTTAATAAAGTTGCTAGCATGGATAGAGCCCGTGAAATGTGTGTGAAAATATAACCGTATTTTCCTAAGTCAGTAAGTCAGCAAGGACACCCTGATCAGGATAAATACAAGTGTGATGTGTTTGGTTGGTTTTGATTCAGAACTAACACCTGTGAGGCCTCTGTTCAACTCTCAGAAGAGATGTGCTTGGCCACACATAGTGTGCATATGATTTGAAATTTGCCTTTCTTTGGGCAAGACTTTGTGCCTTCCATTTTGCATTCTGCTTTGACTTGATGCTGCCCGTTTTATACTTGGATTCTGAATCCATGGTCTGTGAGCATAAACACACTGTAAACTCAAGGAAAACTGAACATTAATTCTTGTGAACTTCGAGTCAAAATTTAATGGTGATGATCGTGGGATTATGTCCTCTGATACCTGTAGATTCACATAGAAGGCTGAAGATGGCTTCTTTTATGAGAGCTGAAAATGGATGACTATTTTACATCATAGGCGGCAAAAGGAAGATGTTCTTCCTTAAAATCCAGCTCTAACATAGTACCTACAGGTTCGCCACACATGGCTGGACAGTGTTTTCTGAAAGCTTAGAATGGGACAGTGAGGTGGGCCAGTGGGTAGATGCTAACCTGGAACTCTGTGTGTAGCCAAGGTGACTAGGAACTTAGCATCCTTCCCCTTCAGCCTCCTGAGTGCTAGTCTTGCAGTTGTGAGCTGCCTTGTGTGGCGTATCATTTTTATATTACTCTGGTTTCTTCAGCCATTTTTAGAAAGTAGTCTCATTGTCCTGCTTAAAGAAGATTGTTCTTGCTTCTCTCAATGTCAGTAAATGTTGTGGCTTGCAGTATCCAAAGGAAGGTCCAAGACATTGTTTTTAAAAAAGGAAATCCAGCTGGCCATTGTTTTCTATATCTCTAATCCTAGCACATGAGAGATAGATGCAAGATTGCAGGTTCAGGGCTAGCCTGAGCTATATAATAAGTTCCAGGCCAGCCTGAACCAAGGCTTTATCTCAAAAACAAAGAATTATCTCCTAAAGAGATGGCTTAGCACTTGCTGTCCTTCCAGAGGACCCAGCATCCCTATCAGCCTGCTCACAGCCACCTGTAACTGCAGCTCCCAGGGACCCAATCTGTTCTCTGGCTTCCGTGGACAGACCACACACATATGGTACACACTCAGACTCAGAGACAGACAGACATACAGACAGACAGACAGACAGACACACACACACACACACAAATAAAACAAACAGCTAGATCCATTGTATTCCAATTCTGTTTCCCATGTTTTCATTGTATTATATGCTGCGCTTATGTGTATTTTTAAGAAGCGTTAATCTCCTGGCTATAGAATCATAAAGACATTGTCATAAAATTATGTTCTTAAAATTGCAATAGGAAAGAGAACTTGAAGCAAATAAAACAGAAAAGGTAAAAGAAGCTCGACTTGAAGCTGAAGTGAAGCTACTAAGGAAGGAGAACGAGGCTCTTCGCAGGCACATAGCTGTTCTCCAGGCTGAAGTTTATGGGGCGAGGTTGGCTGCCAAGTACTTGGATAAGGAGCTGGCCGGCAGGTGTGTAACATGACTCTGCTTGACTCAACTTTTACAGGTGAAACGCTTTCACCCCTATTGTTATGCATAGCTACAGGTTAACAGCATTGGCTGAATATTGGCGGCATTGTTTAGCACAGATATTTTTATCCACATGTACAAACTGATACTAACTTACAGTGCAATGCCTGAAACTCTGCAGAGCAATGCTTTTCCGTGATTTCCTGCCTTGACTCTGCAGAAGATGAGGTTCATGTGGTTGGCAGTAAGGAGTTCTTTGGTCTTTTCTGGCCCCTTTTTCTGGCTTTAATCGTTTTGTTTTGTTTTGTTTTGTTTTGTTTTGTTTTGTTTTGTTTTGTTTTTTGAGACAGAGTTTCTCTGTGTATCCCTGGCTGTCCTGGAACTCACTTTGTAGACCAGGCTGGCCTCGAACTCAGAAATCCGCCTGCCTCTGCCTCCCAAGTGCTGGGATTAAAGGCGTGCGCCACCACCGCCCGGCTCATCTCAATTTTTAATAGAATATTAAAATGAGTATAAAATGATTTGATACTAGCACATCATCAAAGTTTGTGACTATCTCACCTAACAAGATTAAAGCTGGCTGGGCGGTGGTGGCGCACGCCTTTAATCCCAGCACTTGGGAGGCAGAGGCAGGCGGATTTCTGAGTTCCAGGCCAGCCTGGTCTACCGAGTGATTTCCAGGACAGCCAGAGATACACAGAGAAACCCTGTCTCGAAAAAATAAAAAAATAAAAAAAATTGAGATGAAGCAAAGATTTTTTAAATTATTTTTAGATTTTTAAATTTGATATGTGTGAGTGTTTTGCCTATATGTTGTGTATACACATTGTGTATTCAGGGCCTTGGGCATCAGAGGAGGGGGTGAGATCCCCTAAAACAAGAGTTACAGATGGGTGTGAGTCATCATGTAGGTACTGGGAACTGAACCTTCGTCCTCCTCAAAAGCTTGAAGTGCTCCTAACCACTGAGCCATCTCTCCAGCCCTGAAGCAAATAACTTATCATTTTAAAATAGAAATTTTCTGAAGATTTTTTTTTACTTAAACAATCACTTTATTAAAATAAACTGTCATTAAAAGAAGTGTTTTTAATGTGATCGGTGTTATCTAACTGCTTCTATTTAATAGTGCACTGAATTCAGTTATATAAGAGATAAAGCATGTTGCCATTAATCTCAAAAAAATTGTTTTCTTAGGTATATTTAAATTAAGTATATATTTAAAGGAATTCTCGTTTATTTATTTCAAAAAATGTTTAGCTTTTTTTTTTCTCCCCTAAGAGATATCTGTCCCTTTCAGTTTATCTGTACAAATCTGAGACATTGGGAAGGACCTAAGTCTACAGAGTGAGTTCCAGGACAGCCAGGGCTATACAGAGAAACCCTGTCTCAAAAAACAAAACAAAACAAAACAAAAAATCAACAGCTATTTAAGTTAGTAATTCTTTTGAATTATCTTAAATATAGAAGATTAATCTAAACTACTCTCCTTTACTCATGTGAAGGGTCCAACAAATACAACTGCTGGGACGAGATATGAAGGGACCTGCTCATGATAAGCTCTGGAACCAGTTAGAAGCTGAGATACATTTGCATCGCCACAAAACAGTCATCAGAGCCTGCAGAGGGCGCAACGACTTGAAGCGACCCATGCAAGCACCCCCAGGCCATGTATGTCCCCGCTCCCACTCAGCCTCGTCCTGGCCTGACCTCCTCTCCTCTGTTCTCTCTCTCTTTCCTTCTATTAGTGTTTGAACCTTTACTTAATGAGGGAAAAGGAAGTTTGGCTTAATTACAGTGGTTACATACTTAAGAGGTTCAGTTACCCAAAAGAATTTTTTTTTCAGGCTTTTCTAAGAGTGGTGTTTCTTCAAACAGCCGTATCCAGCAAACACATATTGCTGTACTTTAGATCATATTTCAAAATTTTACTGTATCATGATTGAGCGTGCTTAAATTTTTTATAAACTTATCTGTGATAAGTTATATCTGGGAGAAGCTTTCAAGGGAATTTTTGGTACCTACCTCCAAACACAGATTCTGAAATAACATTTACATTTATTTGGCCTTCAGTTAAGATAGAATTTGAAATCTGTATTCAGTTTTCAATTCCATAGCCAGCAGTGTAAAGGAGCTTTGGTAAATGCTCATTAGATAATATAGACGTTAACCGTAGTCGTTTAATAGAAGAAGCTGACTTTTCCCCAGTGGTTCACATATTTTAATATCAGATGCACATGGCTTTTATGTTAGTTACTGTTGTTCTGTTGCTGTGGTGATGCACTGTGTTCAAGGCAACTTACAAAAGGAAGCATTTGATTGGGCGCTTGTTCACAGTTTCAGAAGATTAGTCTGTGAGCACCATGATGGGGAGCATGAGGGCAGACTGACAGGCATGGCACCGAAACAGTAGCTAAGAGCTTACTTCTCGACCTACAGACAGCAAGCAGAGAGAGGCAAGGCCACACCTCCTAATCTTTCCTTTACAGTCTACCAGCTGGGAACCAAACATTCAAATATATGAGCTGTTCTCATTCAAACCACCACAGCTTTAAATAGTACAATAATTTGTTGCCTCCACTAAAGTGGAGGCAACAAAAAGAAGAATGATTGCACATAGTGAGGAACAGGGTCACCGTGCATAGATATGTCACTGTTTTTGAGAGCCCAACACTTTGTATTAACTTTGAGGTCTGGTAGGTCTGAGAAACAGGCTAGGAGGGGGACACAGTAGTTGGTATGGCAGGGTATCAGAGTGACAGCATACTCAAATAGCTTTATGACATCAGCTAACTAGTCAGCCAGAATCGAGAAGATCAGAGTTATTTTACATTAAATATAGGAGTCTTAAGTTATTTTGGTAGGTATGAGCCTTTTAAATACAGTAGGGAGCACAGTAGTGTGGTATTGTGCCCAGCTGCCTCAGTCAGAAAGATAGTGGTGATCCAAGGAGAAAATGAGAAAAGCTTGGGAAGTAGCATTGGGAAGGAAGGGCAGCACTGAGAGAATTTGATTGAGGGGGCTTGACTTGAGCTAAGTTCTTCACAACTAATAGTTAAGGAGAAGAAGATGAAAGCTTTGCTTTGGCTAAGCCAAGTGTACTTATGCTTTTACTAATAAAGGAAGTACAGGGAAATGAAGGTCTGTGGGAAAAAAGATGGCATCAGTTCTAGACAGGCAGTGTTTGAGGTTCGGGTGTGACATATAAGAAATCCATCCAATTGGGTGTATGAATGGAACTCAGGAAAGAAGTCTTGAGTTGCAGGAATATTAGGCAAGCTGTATTCTTTGGTGTCGTTGAAATGATGGAAGTCAGTAGCCAAGGAAAGCATGCACAAACTAACCAGGAATAGGAGGCAAAGAGGAGACTTGGCGAAGGAAGAGAGTTCACAAAGAAAGACTCCTGGTACAGTCAGCTTAGATCACCTGGGAAAGTAGTTAAGAACAACACAGGAACAGAATAGCTTCAAAGGGTGTTTATTGTCCCATGTCAACCTTTTGCAGGGTTCTAGTACAGTAGAGACTAAAATGTGTTCATTGGATTCAGCAATATTTTTACAAGTGACCATAAAGAAAATTTCAGGCTAGGGACAAAGTCTTAATCACAGTGACCAAAGTAATGTGGGAGGCAAGGAAGTATGTGTGGAGGACAGACGATAGTGACTAAAAAACGGGAAGATGAGAGGATGCTGGGTGGAGTTCTCTCTTTGGTTTACTTTGGGTTTGGGGATTTGGTTTGTCGGCATTTTAAAATTGGAAGATGCTTAGAATATATTTATTTGCTGAGTCGAAAAGGAGTTTAGTAGAAAGAAAAAGATCAAAGATGCCAGAGGGAGCTGAGTGGGGTCAGTGCAAGTGCAGAGTGTTTGCTTAGCATGCAAAACAATCTTAGGTTTGAACTAAAAATAAAAAAGGTGAGGAAGGTCAAAGAAAGAACAATTAATGCAATAAGGTACTTTATTTAGCAGGTAGATTGTAGAACACTAGGGAATAAAAAGTAATTAATGTTCAAGCTGATAAAAAATTGTCAGTTCTAAAAATCACTTAACATTTATATAAATCCCTAAAGATATTTTCTAGTGAAGATACATGGTTACTACTTTATTCCTTGAAGATACTTATTTATTAATAGATTCCTGGTAATTTTATAATCTCTTAGTGTGTGTGTGTGTGTGTGTGTGTGTGGTGAAAAAATCATCTATAAATTTTACTATATTAGCATTTTTATCTCATCTTTTAATTGCTGTAGTGTATATCTATACAGAAGGTTAATGGTTTCTAAAGGCAAGTTAGTAACATGAGTTCTGCTTGCTTTATTATTTATTTAAATAATACTAATAATATTTTTTTTCTTTTTCCCTGCAATAAGGATCAAGACTCTTTGAAGAAAAGCCAGGGAGTTGGTCCAATTAGAAAAGTTCTCCTCCTTAAGGAAGATCATGAAGGCCTTGGCATTTCTATTACAGTAAGAAGTAGTGCTTCTGTTTCCTTATGGCATTTGTCTGGTAGGAACTGGCTCCTTTGTTGGGCATCATCTGGAGGAACAAAGTGTTCTGCATATAGCTCAAAATAACTGAATTTTTCAAAACTTAAGCAGCAGTACTTTTGCATAAAACCTTTTGTGTATAAAGAAAGCTTATAATTTAGATGTCCCTTTAGGAAGTGTAGTTAAACATTTTCAGTACAACTGGGAGCAGACAAGAACATGATACAAAGACATTCATGCAGGCAAAACACCTATATATAAAATAAAAAAAACTTTAAAGTAAAAATAACATATATAAGCTATATAAAATGACAGCTACCAATAATTGTATTTTTTCATCTCAATATTACATATTTTTATTTTGGAAATTGGTACTTCTCTTGCTAACTTATCTTCATTAAAGCTGGATGTGATGACACATACCTTTAATTCTAGCACTTGGGAAGCAGAGCCAGGTGGATATCTGAGTTCAAGGCCTACATACTGAGTTCCAAAACAGGCAGAGCTACATAGAAAGACACTGTCTCAAAAAAAGAAAGAACTATCCTGGTTGTACATAAAGTAATTTGTCTTATTATACATTCTATTGCTCTGAAGAGACACAATGACCAAGGCAACTCTTATAAAAGAAAACATTTATCTGGGGCTGACTTATACTTTCGAAGGTTTAGTCCATTATCATGACATGCATGGCACTACAGCATTAGCTGAGAGTTATATCCTGATCTGCAGGCCAAGAGAGGGAAAAACACTGGGCCTGGCTTGAGCTTTTGAAAACTCAAAGCCCACATCTGGTAACACACTTACTCTGACAAGGCCACACCTGCAAATCCTTCTAATCATTTCAAACAGTTCCATTCCCTGGGGACTAAGCATTCAATATATGAGCCTCTGGGGCCATTCTTATTCAAACCACTACAATACATAACAATTTAGACTTAACAAAAGTACTTTGGAAGGGACCACAAGATAGCTCAAAGTGCTGTGGAACTCTAGTATATAACTTGTTTTTAATGTTTAAGAAATAAGACTATTGTAGTTGTTCACAGTTGTTTAAGCTGTTTCAATTTTGGGGTCTATAATAATTTCAGAAATAATAATTTCTTAGTCATTGTACTCAGAGGTGCCTCTTTGATAGTGAGTACAATGTCCCCCATTCTTACAGAGACTCTCTGTTTATTGTGATGAATTTTTCTCTTGGTTTTTCAAGACAGGGTTTCTCTGTGTAGCCCTAGCTGTCCTGGAACTCACTCTGTAGACCAGGCTGGCCTCAAACTCAGAAATCCGCCTGCCTCTGCCTCCCAAGTGCTGGGATTAAAGACATATGCAAACAACTGCTCAGCTGTGATGAATTTTTAAGATGTCTTGTGTCTACGATGATTTGCAATCATTTTATAAAACATAAGGTAACTTACTTCCTTTGATATTATATTGCCAGGGTGGGAAGGAGCATGGTGTTCCCATTCTCATCTCTGAGATCCATCCAGGACAGCCTGCGGATAGATGTGGAGGGCTGCATGTTGGAGATGCTATTCTAGCAGTAAATGGAGTCAACTTAAGGGACACAAAGCATAAAGAAGCTGTAACCATACTTTCCCAGCAGGTGATTTCTGTTTATGTCGCTAAAACTGATATAGAACTTGTTTCTATTCTTTGAAGCTTATAGATGTTATTTGATCATATTTGCTGAAAAGTTACATTCACTCCTTCCTAGAGCAAGAGACCTGGGTGAGTGGCAGCTGTGGTAAGGGAGCTGCAGGTTGTCAGTGGTGAGTGTTGAAGAAAACAGAGCCAGCCCGTAGCACATTGCTCAAGAGTAGTCGCAGGAGAGCAGGGCACCAAAGACATTAACTTAGTGGGGAGAAGTCAAAACCAGCAGACTTTCTTTCTAGAAAAGACAGGCTATAATTTTCAGAGTTATAAACACAAGGCTAGGATGTGGTGATTGTAGTCTCAGTAAATGACAGTTACAACTTGGAGACTTTTAAAACTTAAATGGTTTATAATTCTGTACTTAATAAGTTGGTTTTTTTTTTATTTAATCTTTTTTTTTTTTTTACACTCCAGATTTTATTCCCTCCCGGTCTACCTTCCGACAGTTCCACATCCCATATCTCCTCCCGCCCCCTGTCTCCACAAGGATGTCCCCACCCCTGACCCCCACTCAACCAGGACTCCAAACTCCCTGGGGCCTCCAGTCTCTTGAGGGTTAGGTGCATCTTCTCTGACTAATCCCAGACCTGGCAATCCTCTGCTGTATATGTGCTGGGGACCTCATATCAGCTGATGTACTCCGCCTGGTTGGTGGTCCAGTGTCTGAGAGATCTCAGGGGTCCAGGTCAATCAAGACTGTTGGTCGTCGTACAGGGTAGTCCTCCTCAGCTTCTTCTAGCTTTTCCCTAATTCAACCACAGAGGTCAGCAGCTTCTGTCCATTGATTGGGTGTAAATATCTGCATCTGACTCTTTCAGCTGCTGTTGAGTCTTTCGGAGGGTAGTCATGATAGGTCCCTTTTTGACAGCGCTCCATAGTCTCAGTAATAGTGTTAGGCCTTGGGACCTCCCCTTGAGCTGGATCCCACTTCAGGCCTGTCACTAGACTTTATTTTCCTCAGGGTCCTCTCCATCCCTGCAGTTCTTTCAAACAGGAACAATTATGGGTCAGAGCCTTTGACTGTGGGATGGCAACCGCCTCCCTCACTTGATGCCTTGTCTTTTTGCTGGAAGTAGGCCCTACAAGTTCTCTCTCCCCACTGTAGCGCATTTCATCTAAGGTCCCTCTCTTTGAGTCCTAAGAGTCTCTCACCTCCCAGGTCTCTGGTACATTCTGGAGGGTCGCCCCAATCTCCTACCTCCCAAGGTTGCCTGTTTCTATTCTTTCTGCTGGACCTCAGGGCTTCAGTTCTTTTCCCCCACTCAAAACCAGATCATGTTCCACTTTTCCCCACCCCAGTCCACTTTCCCTCCTAGGCCCCTTCCTCCCTCCCCACTTGTGATTATTTTCTTCTCCCTCCCAAGTGGGACTGAGGCATCCTCACAGGGCCCTTCAGCTTGTTGACCTTTTTGAGTTCTGTGGACTGTATGTCCTTTTTTTTTTTTTTTTTTTTTTTTGGGGTTAATATCTACTGATTAGTACATACCATGCATGTCCTTTTGGGTCTGAGTTACCTCACTCAGGATGGTATTTTCTAGTTCCGTCTATTTGCCTGCAAATCTCAGAATGTCCTTGTTCTTAATAGCTGAGTAGCATTCCATTGTGAAGATGAGCCACATTTTCTGTGTCCATTCTTCTGTAGTGGGACATCTGGGTTGTTTCCAGCTTCTGGCTGTCACAAACAAGGCCTCATGAACATAATGGAACTAACAGTAAAAATATTACATCTAGCCTAGTGTAGTGAAAGGAATAAAGACTGTCCAGCCATAGCAGTGTCTTTGTCCTTGCTTGGGCTCTAGGGAAAGCTGCCTGTTCTCATCACTGCTCACCGAGGCTTCTCACTCATGGGAAGAGACAAATGGGATGCTCTGCAGAGTCACAAAGCTGATTCTGTACAGTAAATACAGTAGTCACTGGTATTCCTGAATACATACCTTTATTGACACTAGTGTCAGTAAAAAGAAGTGTATTTTTAAATACTTGAAATCCCTTCTCTTAAGAGATCAGGAGTTGAAGCTCGTGCTCAGCTATGTGCGGATTCAAGGCTAGCCTGGTCTCCTCAGACCTTGTCTGAAGTGAGTGCTTTGGTCAGTAGAAGGAACTATGATATTAGAAGGAACTTCTTTGTAGAGATCCATGGAGAGGTCTGGCCTATGCAGCCTCCCCCTCTTGTACCTCTTAAGAGTCTAGAATTTCCTGCCTGACTGAAAAGGAGCAGTACCTGCCCTCTCTTGCTCTCAGTGCCTGTCCCTAAAGACTGGGAATCGTCTTGTGCTTATGACCACAGTGACTTGACTCTCTGTGTTCACCCCTGTTGTAGAGAGGAGAGATTGAATTTGAAGTAGTCTACGTGGCTCCTGAAGTGGATTCTGATGATGAAAATGTGGAGTATGAAGACGAGAGTGGACACCGCTATCGCTTGTATCTTGACGAGTTAGAAGGCAATGGTAATTCTGGTGCTAGTTGCAAAGACAGTAGTGGCGAAATGAAAGTGTTACAAGGTAAAAATTACTCCAAATTTTATTATGAATGTATTGATTATTAATAACATTTTTTTCCTTTGGTTTTGAGAGACAGGGACCAGGCTGGCCTTGAACTTGGAGATTTGCCTGTCTCCGCCTCTGCCTCATAAGTGCTGGGACTAAAGGTGTACACAGTCTTCACCACCACCACCTGACTTATTCATAATATTTTAATGTAAAAGCCTCAGTATTCTTTAGTAACACATTAAATGATACAGAACAAAAGGCATGAATAGTCAGTCCTGCAATTTTACTATGTTCCACTGGTTTACATGGTCTCTATTTGCTAAGATGCTTGAAAAACAAAGAAGATTCAAATTTTCTATACTCTGAAACAAAACCCAACATCCCTTTAGAGTACAGGTGTCTTAATGAAGAGGCTTCTCATCACACGAGGAGTTAGAGCTTAGGAGCCATGGGTTAGCGGTTAAATTGATATCTGTGATTATTACCCAGATCATAATGTAAGACCCTCAAGATTTTTAATTTGGTACTTAGAAAAGAAATATGTTAGCACTTCCTTTGGGTAGAGCAATGTTTTCCACATTATCATAGGTGGCTGGGAGTCACTGGGACTTTTTGAGGGGCATATGGGGTGAGGAGCGTTTCCTGTTAATAAATAATGTGATGAAACAGTAACAGTTTAGTTTTAGATAAAATTGGCATTTGGGGATAAAGCTATAAAACTTAATATTTTATTATTAAATGTTAAATCTTGAGTACATTGCTTATTTTGGTTTGTTTTTTTGAGACAGGATCCCACTATATAGCCTGGGCTGGCTTTGAATTTACAAATCTTCCTACCTCAGACCCAAGTGCTGCCTTCACAGGCATGCATCACAGGCCCTGCCTTTCATCCTTATGTTTTCAGTGTTCTTTTCCTAAGCCCCAATGCCAGTTGATTGTGTATATTTCATTTTACTCTTCCACTTGAGCAGTCACTGACCCAGCACAAGCACACTGCACAAAGCACATGTATGTCACTGACCCAGCACACTGCACAAAGCATGTGTATGTCACTGACCCAGCACACTGCACAAAGTACGTGTATGTCACTGACCCAGCACACTGCACAGAGCACGTGTATGTCACTGACCCAGCACACTGCACAGAGCACGTGTATGTCACTGACCCAGCACACTGCACAGAGCACGTGTATGTCACTGACCCAGCACAAGCACACTGCACAGAGCATGTGTATGTCACTGACCCAGCACACTGCACAAAACATGTGTATGTCACTGACCCAACACACTGCACAGAGCACCTGTATGTCACTGACCCAGCACACTGCACAGAGCACCTGTATGTCACTGACCCAGCACACTGCACAAAGTACAAAGTACATGTATGTCACTGACCCAGCACACTGCACAGAGCACGTGTATATCAGGAAATAAATAGCAGGCAGCACTCAGAAGTCAGAGGTAGACGAAACTGAGTTTGAGGCTAGCATGGTCTACAAAGTGAGTTCCAGGACAACCAGAACTACACAGTGAGACTGCCTCAGATGAGGGGGGGAGATGGGGGGGATGGGCTGGTGTCACATTTTTGTCAGAACCCTATAGTGTTGAGCTGCTCTCCCATAGCCCCATTGTCATTTTACTGTCATGGATATTAAAAAGCCTGTTCCAAGATGGTGGTGGGGCAGCAGGGGTGGGGTGGGGGTGAGGGGAACAAACCTTTAATCCTAGCATTAAGGAGGCAGATGCAGGTGGATCTCTACTCAAGGCCAGAGTAGTCTACAGAGTGAGTTCCAGAACAGCCAGGGCTCCACAGAGAAACCCTTTCTGGAAAACAAACAAAAAAGCCCTTACTTTTTTTTTTTTTTAATAGCCAAAGTTAGAAAAATTTCCTTATGTAAACTGCAAACACTTAAAACATGAAGCGAAAAAAATATGTCATATAGCATATCACTATTAAGTGAGTCAGACAATGAAACATTTATCTTTGGTAGGTTTGAGGTCTTCATAGGACTCCTCGGCCGGCCAGGAACTCATTGTGTAGTCCTTGAACACGAGATCTTCCTGCCTTAGCCACCTAAATGTTGAAATGACAGACATGTACTACCACGCATGGCTAAAATACATGTATTGATGATTATTTAATACAGATCTTTCTACGCTTACTTAGTGGGTTTAACAGTCAATCATATTTACTTAAAACCCTATTATATGTTAGGTAAATGAACCAAAATTTATTTTAATATTTAGCTAAACATTATCTTGTCAATGGATTGTTTAGCAGTCAACTAGCATATAGTTCAATGAATTAAAGTTAAAGTAATATGGAAGCAAAATATTAAAGTTAAAATATTTGTATCTCGCCGGGTGGTAGTGGCACACGCCTTTAATCCCAGCACTTGGGAGGCAGAGGCAGGCGGATTTCTGAGTTCAAGGCCAGCCTGGTCTACAGAGTGAGTTCCAGGACAGCCAGGGCTACACAGAGAAACCCTGTCTCGAACCCCCCCCCCCAAAAAATTATATCTCAAAAGATAATTGTATAAATACAATTGGATTTTTATAACCTAGTATGTCAACCCTAGTTTTTTAGAAAACTGGATAGATTTATTTCACAACTTTCAGGTAGCTTCAATAGCTACTACTTTAAAAATGTATATGATGTTTTCTATCTGCTATAACATGAAAGAATTCCTATAAGCCCTATTAATTTGATCAGGGCAGTGTTAGTTTGCCTTATATTACTGCTAATAATTTCATTGAACATTTTTTCTTAGTAAAATTGTAAAATGTAGACATATTTTCAGTCAGAAATCCATGGTGTTTCTTCTGTTCTTCTTTCTCAGGGTATAACAAGAAGACAGTGAGGGATGCACATGAGAATGGGGACGTGGGGGCTTCAGGTGAGAGCCCTCTGGACGACACTGCTGCAAGAGCGGCTCATCTGCACAGCCTGCATCAGAAGAAGGCCTACTAATCCATCCCAGATATGCTGCTTGTCAGACTCGTGGAATGTGGGGCACTAGAGAAGATGGTGACAAAGACTGCACAAGATCAGGGAGGCTGTGTGTTGCCTAGAGAAAGGCGGGAACCTCAGGGCTTCATGTGAACAATTCTAAGTGCATAAACCCCTGTTGTCTGTGGTATACCTTAATTAGCTATTGCATGGAAGGCAATTTTGAGTTTCCTGGAATCTAAGCACCAAAGCATGTGTTTCCCAAAGGGATATTACTAGGCTCTTACAGGCCGAATGGATGCTATTTCATTTGGCTCCTTTTCATATTTAACAGGACAGTGCTAACTGGAATCTTCTAAGTACCCTTTAAGTACAGCAGAGTAAATGATACCACATATTCCCTAAGGATAACTGTGGAATTTCAGATGACAGAACTTGACTCAGTGAATTGCAAAAATCTAGGTTGACATTTTTGCTTAACTGAAAAATTTGTTTCCGGTTTTTTTTTTTAAAAAGTGTGTTGTACATTCCTGATGTCTAAATTAATTACTATCCAAATCATTATGATGAGTTCACTCTCCAGTTTATTCAACTGCAGTACAAAATGGGTTTCTTTAGGCAATCCTGTATCAATCAATGCTGCTCTAGAAATAGTTTGAGAAAAGTTACTGTGCATTTGACTTTGGATTTTTAAAGGAAACGCAGATGAGTGGAAAATACCTGTTTTCAATTATGTTGATCTGTGTGCATGGTATTGGAGCATTACACTGTTAGTGTTTAGTCCCAAATGTTAATTGTCTGGAATCCACAAAAGACAGTTTTATACATTTTTGAGTTGTTCCCAAGCTTTGTCTTGTGATAGTCAGGGACATTAATATGTCATGAAATACATTGTGTTCAAACAGCAGTTGGCTTTAAATACCTGACTTGCCAATCATTTAAAAAGCCAGGGGCCAAGGTGGGCAAGATGAGGCAAAGACATTTTGGTACATTGAGCGTATTAGTTTTCATATCAGTATATGTTTGACTTAGAGCAATACTCGTGTGCAGACTCTGTAAATGTATTAGTTCTCTTGTATCAGAACTAAGCACAGGGTACCTGCTCCTTTCTTTCCTGACCATTGCACCCTGCTGGGCAAAGTCAAAGTACTGTATTTAAAAAGGTGTGATTTTTGCTAAGTCACTGTTTTAAAGGATTTATACCTAAGGGAATCTTAAGTGGGAAAAGCCTACATATATAGGACTTTTACAATATCAGTATCTTCTTTCTTGGTATGCTTGTTTTTCCCAGATGCATTATATATTTGTTCAAAGTTAAATCTATAAATTGTATATACTTTATTTTGTGATTTTGCTATTTATAAATTTACTTTTTAACTGTTGCTCATTTCTGGTCTATGGGTGGTTTCATTCTTCATAGTATCACCATGGTAACTGGTAACTAGAAGTGCACTTTGTATGTATATTGTTACTGATGCTGAGATACCTTGTAGTGTAACATTGCTTGTAAACAAGGTTAGTATTTTAATTGTACAAATGAATAAACACGTTACATATTGCTGTTTGCTCCTAACAGGCTAGGCCTCTTAAAAGAAAGATTGGTTTTTCCTCATGTATTCCTCCCACTCCAAACACGTACCCAATGCATGACTTGAGACCTTCAAAGTAGGTGATAGCCAGTGTATTATTTAAGAAAAAAATATCCATGGTTAACAGATATGAAAACATTTGTGCTCTGACCTGAAGCCATGTTGTCCTTATATGCTTTCAACATTGCCTGGGAATGACCATGGCCATTTTCTTTTCCTTTTTCTTCAGAGATTATATACCTTCTGTACTATGACAGAATCACTAGGAAATGTAAGCTATAACCCTTGGAGTTTTTGTTTTTCAAGATCTTCACAGCAAATGTGGAAGCAGAATTTTAGAAAATGGATAAACATTTTTGTGTGTTGCCTATGAGGGTCTGTGTGAGATGGGTACCGAATATATTAAGAAAGAGTAGTTTATAGTTCTGCAGGTCAGTCTTTACAGCTCTGCTTTCTGGTTTGGAAGCATATGAGAACACAGTGGCTGCTCTGAGAGCATCCTGGTACTTCCCCAGGCCCAGCTGGGAGTTTACTTCAGAATGTGTGGTTTCTAGGGATGAACAAGGTAGTCAGACTTCTCCCAAAGTGCTAAGTGAAAAGTAGTTTTTATATTTCACATTCATAGGAAAGATGCCCATATAACACTGAATCTTCTTGAACAAAGCCAAAAAATGGGAGGGGGAAAGCTGTTGCAAAGCCATCACAATGAAAACATGTTGAATAGAGCATGAGAGGGGTGTGTGCAGACGTATTCACACTTGTTCTGCGAGACTGTGTTGTGCAGTTCTCTGATCTGAACATGACGGAAATGACACATTTGGCTGAGGGATTATTGTTAAATTACATTATGAGAGATGAAGAGCTTGCGAGTCTGTTGATTAGAACGGAACAATTACAGATAACACAACCTGTCCATGGTGCTGGAATCTTCCCCACAGCGTTGGGCTTACATTGTTTTCATATTTTAAAACAAAAATATATTGATTCACATATAAGGTGATTTATGATAATTGTATTATATCTAGTTGAGTTTCATATTCTTAATTAGGCTGTAAATAAAAAATGACATATTCTCCATTAAAGTGGTATTGATCAGATTTGAAGGAAAATAAATGTTTTCTTCTTCATTCACACTAAATATTTTGATTTATTGTGGGTTCTTGAGTCGCTCCTGTGACTTGTAACAATGTGTCATGAAATACCCAAAGGCTGAATCCAGATGCTGAGGAAGAATATTATAGGCTGGGTAGGAATTGTTGAGTCTTACCTGTTTCGTCCGAGTTAGTTAGAAATATAGTAGTTAGGAACTGTCGGAACAACTCTGGGATTGGTAGTCCGTTTTAAACTTAGCAGACAGCAGAAACTCTGGTCTCTTTGGCTTGGTTTTGTATTATAGATCTTGAAAGCTAAAGTTACATAATGGGGACAGCATTGAAAAGAGTATAATATGAATCCTTGTATTTGAAAGGAAATTCTTTCATATACATCTACATATATCTAGTTTAGAGTTTTCCAAATTATGTGTGAGATCATTTTGGTAAACATTCATAAGCTCAGAAACTGTCTTTCACTACGAGCACTTATAAATACTTGCCTCCTGCCGTTGGGTAGCTGTGATTTAGTCCTCAAATCTGTGTGTGCCCTGTGGCAATTGAAGCTATGGACTCTTAAGTTCTCTAAGGAAAAGTCTTTCCAGAATTCATCCCCTTAGGCTGTTGCTTAGTTTGTGAGATATAAAAAGGGAGCCGAATTTTTGTTATTGATCAGTGTTGCAATCTACCTTGAAGAAGGAAAAAAGAAGGTATAAACGTATTACAGATAACCATGTGTTGTTGATGATAAATATTTTGTTTGACAATAAATGTTTTTCAGGTTGTCTTGAGCCATAACCACCCTTGCAGCCCTTGCAGCAGAACACATCTCTGGACATCTCCAGCAGGACACTGAAGAAGCTGTGCCTCGTCAGGTGGCTGTTGGTTGGCCACTGACCAGGACGAAGACCCCGTGAGGCATGGAGACTGCCAGGAAGACTCCCTACACTGTACTTGAAGTTGCATTCCACAGTCCGTCCTCCTCCAGTCATCCACCTGCTTTGTGGTCTGCTTGCCTCCACCCTCCTCACTTGTTTTCTTCTCACCAGCTAACAAATCTGTTGTACAAGCAGCCGACTGAGACAGATGCAGATACTTATATCCAACCAATGGACTGAAGTCGGGGACCCCTGTAGTTGAGTTTGGGAAAGGCTGAAAGAAGCTGGGGAGGTAGGTAATCCCATAGGAAGAACAGCGGTCTCAACTAACCTGGACCCCCGAGTTCCCTCAGACACTGGGCCACCAACAGGCAGTGTACACTAGCTGGTACGAGGTCTCCCAACACATGTACAGCAGAGGACTGCCTGGTCTGGCCTCAGCGAGAGAAGATGCGCCTAACCCTCAAGAAACTTCACACCCCAGAGAGTGAGGAAGCCTGGTGGTGTGGAGGAGTGGGTGGGCGTATCCTCTTGGAGACAGGGTAAGGGGATGGGGGGGGGGTGAAGAATGGGATGAGGAACTGTGGGAGGGTGGACCAGGAGGGGGCTAGTGACTAGACTGTAAAAAACAAAGATTAAAGATAATAAAAATAAATAAAAGGGCTGTTCATCTTCTACCCCAAAAGTGAAGCAAGATGGCCTCTTAGCTGGATACCTCTAGTGCTAACACAGGAGCATAGCTTGGTTGCTAAATGTTTCCAAGACCATATACAGAAAATTATGAGCATAGTAGGTCATTCTGAGGGCCATTTATGTGTGGCTTCTGGTTAGTATATAACCAGGTTTCAGGAGGATACCACCATTTTTAAGTTAGGAGGTTCACATACCTGAAATGTCTATATAAACAACATGTTTTATGTTGCTCACCTGGGCATTTGGAATTTTAGTACATGCTAGGCAGTGGGTACCTACTAGTGACCCTATAAAATGTGATCTGAACAGGTTTTTGAGAGCCTACTCCTATACTGTATGTATGGTGCATCTGCCATCAGAGCTCACTTTCTCTTTGCTTAAGCTGATATTAAAATAATCTTTATTAACCCTAACTGTGGTCACAGGCTCAGGCAGGCTTCCCTGGTGAACAGTTGCTTTGCATGTGGAATGGTACAAGCCTGTTCAGCAGCATTGGGAGCCTTTTCTCTATACTGGTTTTGTGTCATTCACTGTTAAATCATAGTTATGAGCCAACTCATGTACTCCGGACCTGTGGCCCTTTTGCAATAGCTTGAGGGCTGTTCTTGGAGACTCCTCTGGTATAACTCCAAGTATAACTAGGGAAAGAGCCACAAAGAATTCTCTAGGACATTCAGCAATGTGGGTGTTAGGAAAACATGATGATGACAGTGTCCGAACAGCAGAGGTGGCTGTTCCCATTAGGTTGTGTTGGTGAACTACTGATGAAGGACAGGTGAGGAGGCTGTGACCAGATTCCCAGTACTCCTACAGGAGAGCTGGACCTGCTCAGAAGGGGACAGAGTTTGGAGGAAGCCGCCTTCCTACAGTAAGGACTGAAAAGAGGGCATTCAGTTGAGCTTTCACAGAACATCTAATCCTTAAAGCCAATGGAGAAACAGCCTTGAAATACATGGAAATATTTTGAGTGGACGCCCCTGAGGATGGTGACTGCTGATCCTCCTGGATTGTTCCATCTTATAAAGTAGTCCATGCCTTCTATTAAAACCTCTTGTAGCCGGGCGGTGGTGGCGCACGCCTTTAATCCCAGCACTTGGGAGGCAGAGGCAGGCGGATTTCTGAGTTTGAGGCCAGCCTGGTCTACAGAGTGAGTTCCAGGACAGCCAGGGCTACACAGAGAAACCCTGTCTCAAAACAAAACAAAAACTCTTGTAAAAGTAAGTCACCTTTGGGAACTGGAGAGATGTCTCAGTGGTTAAGAGCACTGGCTGCTTTTCCAGAGAACCTGAGACCAATTCTCAATGCCGATAGGACAGTTCATAACTGTAAGTCCAGACCCAATGGATCCCATATCATTGCACAGATATACAATCCAGGCAAAACACCAATGCACATTTTAAAAAATCATTTAAAAATGCATTTAAAAGTAGCCTACTCTTCCTATTAAAATCTTGTACTTGGAGATTGTTATTACCACCCCATATCCTGAAACAGTAGGAGCCTCACCCTGCTTGCGGGCATATAACTAGGGATAATTCAAACAAAGCTTAACTTGAGATGATTAGTGTAAGAGAATACTAAGTCACAGGAAGTTTTAGGATCAAGCTGGCATGGTGGCATTCCTATCACTTGGAAGGCAGGAGGGAGGACAAGTTCTGGGCTACACAGTGAGTTCCCGGACAGCCTAGCCTGTGAGCCCTGAGAGTAAGACCTTGTCCCCCTCGACACCTAATGTTTCATTTAGTATTTTCTGGCAAGAGCCAATGGGGTACTTCAAAGATGAAAGGATATGATCAAGGAATATAAAAAATCCTAGTTGCAGGGGTGGGGGACTCAATTGACTTTGGAAAAGGATGTTTATGAGAAGGATACTTAACCATAAAGATGTAAGACCCAGAGGAGAAAAAAAGGGAAGATACACTAGGTAAAATTTTGTCCCAACCCCACCCCAAAGCTGATATGCTAATAAACAGATTAAGACAAAAAGTATTTGGAATAGTTTTTTTTTTCAGTTTACTACAAAGTTGAAATAATTCTAACCTTGTGACTTAGTGATAAAACATCACTTTTTATTGCTGTGATAAAAACATCATGACCAAGACAACAGAAGAGTTTATTTGAGGCTTACAGTTTTAGTTAGAGGCCGTACCCATCATGGCAGATTACATGGCAGTGGGCAAGCATGGCATTAGAGCAGTAGCTGAGAGCTTGTACACTGATTCACAAGCATGAGAGAGCTAACTGGGAATGAATGGGCTGTTGAACCCTCCAAGTCCACCATCAGTTACACACCTCTGACAAGGCCACATCTCCTAATCCTTCCCAAAGAGTTGCACCAACTGGGGGCTAAATACTCAAGTATGTGAGCCTATCTATGAGGGCTCATATATGCAAACCACCACACCTTGTATACACCTACTTAAAATAGCCTCAAAATATATAAAGGGAGGGGCCAAGATGGCTTAGTGGGTAGAAGCACTTGGCTCAAGAATGATGACTTGAATTTCATCCCGGGAACGCACAGTGGAGGAAGACATTCAATTCCTGAAGGCTATCCTCTAACCACCATACAAAATTCATGACATAACACACACACACACACACACACACACACACACCACAGACACCTGGAACCTACAATAGAGACAATCAGCTCCTGAATGCTATCCTCTGATCCCCATACAAAGTCACGGCACACACCACACACACATAAAATAATAAAAATTTCTCATGTACAGTTTATAAAAGCTGGTAAAATCACAAAAAACATTATAAAAATACATCAGTGAGCAATTATAGCACAACACAGAAATCAAGATTTGAACAACAAAGACTTGCTATAAACTTTAAGTAGTGGCTTTATTTTTTTGTATTTGATAAAAGAAAGACCTGTAGTTTCTAACTAGGAAGATGGATGAATGGTCTCTAACAAGGAAACTTGGGTAAATATAAAATAGACACTAAAACTTATTTTAAGTTTAGAAAGGTAGATGCAATTTGGGAAAATGCCAGTAGGGGGCGAAAGAGCCCCAAAGCTACATTTAACCCACTTTTTGAGCGTAAAACAACTAGATTCATTCTAAGGATTAATAAATTGAAGACTGGAGAAGTTATACCATTTGTTCGGGGTTACACAGTGTCAGTCATGAGTAAGGTCCCTCTCTCCATTCTTTAATAAGCCATGAAGAGAAAAAAGGGAACTACAGATGAACATATAGGCTTTCAATGTTACATTTCACTTACACTATTTTTTATTTTTCATGAATGGTACATGAATTGATGGAGCCTAGGTTTAAAACATTTCTAATGTTTTTAATGGTGATTAATAGCTACAAAGGGAATGAAATGAAGACAGAAAGGTCAGGCATTCCAGAGCATCCTCAGAAACACAATGAATTCCCTGCCAGCTGACCTATATGAGACTCTCTATAAAACCAAAACCAAAAGGAATGCATGTGCTGCTTGTCTGTAATCCC